ACTTCTTGCTGCTAAGGCTCAGCTCTCGGCTCTCGACAAAGAGGGAGCAGATGCTCTTAAGGAGCTCAAGAGCGCTGATGTTACCATCATCTCATCCCTCAAGTCTGAGCTCGACTACACCAGAGAGCAGCTCAGCTACACCATTGCTGAGCGAGATGCGCAGCAAACCCAGCTCGTCGATGCTCTCCTTACCAAGGATAAGCTGCGTAAGGAGGTTGAAGAGGGCCGGGAGCTGCAAGACATCAATGGTACAGGCGATGCACCACCTGACCCCAGCAAGAAGGGCGAGCTCATTGAGAAGCTGCGTGCCCGCCTCAGAGAAATCCGCGAGGTGAGTCCACTGTTTGATGCAATTCTTAATGGTGATGGGGAAGACCCAGTGGTCTCAGACACAGATAGCCAGACATGGTTAGAAGACGATGCCGCTTGGCCTTTGGATCCCACATCTGCAGATGGCGGACCGGGTCTATCGCTAGAACCTATTGGAACTGTGATCCCGAGACCTGCTTCTGCACTACTACCCCTGCGCCCCCTCCAGCGAGGACAAATAGGGGAGCTAGAGGGACCTATTGATATGCATGCTCAATCCGGTAGATTTAGTTGGCTGACAGATATGTTCTAGCAACTGGAACGATCAGAGACGGACAGAATCGACCTGCAACGGAAACTCAAGGCTGCACACGATGGGGAGGCTGTGGCTGCACAAAAGGTACGTTTCATTTCTCCCCGTGTATATAGTAACATCATCTGTTTACATCATGTTTTTTTCTTACTGTGACTGAAACCTGTGCTGATTATCCGTGATTCAAGGCCGCCAGCGATCAAATTATCCGGAACCTTGAAAGAGAGAACGCTCTCATCTCATCAGCATGGTATGATCTTACGAGCCGGCTTCAGAGCAACCATGTCGTTTTGCAAAGACGGCACGAAGCTCCGCGGAGCTGGCTTAACAAGCAGAGGCAGATGGTCAATGGTCAGTTGCGCTTCCGCGACTCGCTCTACCTCTACTGACCTTCCCCTGTCAGCGACCCCGAAGCGATAGGTACTCGCGGGGTGAGAAATCACTCGCTATTTTATGATAAGACTCAACGAATTACGCTCTCAAGTTGTGTGACATAACCCCTACTACCTACGTTACCAAACGCCAGTCTCTTCCTCGACGTATTCACTCCCACCCATACTGGCTTATCTTACCCGGCTCTCAAGATTGCCCCTTATCCTTTCTTGATCCCGACATTCTCATAATTGCCGACACCGCCTTGGAAATCCAGGGCGTCGTATTTTCCTCTTTCTTATTTTTTGAAGCATTGCGAGGGAGCTTGGTGTGTTTCTTAAAAACGGGCGTACTTGCTTGGTAGACTGGTGGCTAGGAGGGTTTCTGCATTCAATGATATCATTAGTATAGATGTTATGCCGAGGGGACCTACAACGGGCCCCAAATGCGTTTCAATAGAGACTCGGGCCAAATATCGCAGAGTCATAGCTTGATCAGTATTGAAACTGAGGTTGTGTAAGGCGATTCGGGGACTTTGATCTGATTGAAGGCTCTAGTCTACCTGAGACCAAACCCATCAGCGTGCATTCCATCTTCACGAGAAACAGGTAGGCCAGATATATTTAACGCTTTGAAAGCCAACTTTCTGTTGGGTGGAAACTATTGTAAGAAAGACATTTTGATACATGGCTAATCGTCGTCCAAAGTAGGTGGCTTTTTCCACACATGGCCAAACAAGACCGCACCGCAGACAAACCCTCTACCTCTTAACGCCTCTTTTGCCTGGAAGATTGGACTCTACGCTCTCTCTTCCGCTTCCCCCGGTTTACAGTTCATACCGTTCATATATCCAAGACGAGCTGGCTTTTATTTTCACTCAGCATTCGTCTTGTTGCCTCAGCCGCACCAAGTGGCAGCTGGGAGAAATCAGCCGCTCCGGGCAGGATTTAAGCTCGCTTCTCGTTGAGGACCTTAAGCATGTTCTTCCACACTTGGCCAGGTTCTTGGCTGGCGTCGAGGCCGCTCCAGATACCAGTCTTCTTGTAGTAACCCACAACAGGGGCGGTCTGCTTGTGGTAGGTAACAAGGCGCTTCTTCAGAGCCTCGGCGTTGTCGTCACTTCGCTGGATAAGAGGCTCGCCAGTAATGTCGTCCTTCATGTACTCCTTGGGAGGGTTGAAGGTGGTGTGGTATGAGCGTCCGGAAGCGGGGTGGACTAATCGGCCAGTGATACGGGCAACGAGAAGAGAGTCGTCGATCTGGAGCTCGACGGCGTGCTGGAGCTTCTGGTTGCGCTCTGTGAGCATGGCATCGAGGCTCTCAGCCTGGGGGACAGTTCGAGGGAAACCATCGAGGATGAAACTGAAGCGCGAATTATTAGTATCATGTTTCGTCGATCACGTCGGTGTAGATCGAGATTTGCGGGCTCAGAACATCTGGAACCCGAAACTCGTGGAACAATGCAACTCACCCGCCCTGGCACTCCTTGTTGCTGTTGAGCTCCTCTTTGATCATGCCAATCATGATATCGTCGCTGACCAGACCGCCCGCGTCCATGATCTTCTTGGCCTCAACACCGAGAGGGGTCTTCTTAGCGACCTGGGATCGCAGCATGTCACCGGTAGCCTGCGCAACGAGAGAATACAAGTTAGAGAGTCGAAACCTTGAATGGCTGTGTTTTTGCGACGCGAATTAACGTACCAAGTGACAGCAAGAGAAGCGCTCCTTGATCTTGGGGGCCTGAGTTCCCTTTCCTGGGAAGCACAGTTAGTAAAAAAGACTAAGCGAGCATTTGCGGCGCAAAAACACTCACCAGCACCAGGAGGACCGATGAGGATCATTCGGATCTCATCAGTGGAGACGGGACCGCCAGTGGCTCGCGCCTCGAGCTTCTTGATGCGAGTGTCAATGGTGCTAAGAACATCCTTAAGCTGCTTAAGCTCGTCCTCAATGAAACCCATTGTTGCGGTTGCGGAAGATGAAATTGAAGCTGGAACTTGTTCTGGCGGGCAATTGAAAGAGATCTTGGGAGATCCAGAGAAGCAAAGATGAAATTGACGAGAGACTTTGTTCTTTGGTGCGAGGCTGAGGGGATCGAAGTGGAAGAAGAGAGGTGAAAAAGCGAGGAACAAAGTCAAGACAGGGAAATCTTGAGTGCGTAGCCGGAGGACGGGAGGTTTGGGGGAGAAGCTCTAGCAAGCTGTGATTGGTCAAATGGGGCCGTTTCTGCTGGAGCGATGATGATGGGGGTACACCCCTGTAATTAACATGCTGGGGATACGCCTTGGCCTTTGAGGTGATTGCAATCGTGGCTTTTGATATTTACGGATATTTATATGATAATGTAGGTAAAGGGACGCAGTTTTGTGAACTCTGGATAGTTTGTATTGCTTGCATTTCCTTGGTGCACCGTTATTTTGTAGTTAACGTTGCCAGGGCTGAAAACGTTCACATAAACGCCCATCACAGGCTCAGGACAAGGTAGGTAGGTACTCGGTACAGCTGCGGCGTTATAGAGACCGCCACCTGTTCATAAAACGACCAAGCTCCAACAATAACATATCTAAATCTAAATACGGTGAAAACATGTGGCCTTCCAGTGTAGCTTGCTCTATCTTCTCAGCCACAAGCACTGCTATCATCCGAGGTCCCCAGTCCTTCATCTCTATACAGCACCGATATACGGATACTTGTAGCACCTTAGGGTAGTTCGCAGCTTGCCTCAACAAGAGCCGTATCCGGAACATGCCCGTTTTTCCTCGTCTCACTACCTACCTACCTAATACTCCAAGATGCTATAACCGTACTTGGCCGAAGCCAATGGCGGAAGGTCAGCTCACAACTACTATGATGCAACGGAGTTTGTTCGGTTGCCAGGACCGAGGTTCATGGGCCCCATTGATCCGGTATATCCCCGCCGGTTCAACAATTCAAGAATAACTCTCTTATGTAGCATTTCATCTGTTGCAGAAAAACGGCCACACCTCGGTCTGCATACATCCGACCTCCTCGTCTGTCCTTTCACGGCTAGCTACACTCGTGCAAGGAACGACTATCGGTAGTTAGAATGGATCGCTGCACGAGTGCCTTCGTTTTGTTATATCCTATTCGAGTAGTAGTGACATGGCACCCTCGTTACTCAACGCTTGCACCCACGTGTAGGTAGGTGTGTTAATAGCCGGCATTAGCATGTTAGCCTCCATCTTTCCGCTCTCCTACAGGTGTCCCGAAGCCAAGTCTAGACTTTATAGTGATGGCATCATCATATACAATTTCGAATTGGACCCTGCTTCTTCAATGGTTTCTTCCCTCGATACCTACTTTCATCCTTAACCGAGGCCCAAGTCGGTGGCAATCACCAGAATCGAGTCGCTTACCATAAGTGGGAGATCTGATCACGCTACGTCGTATTCAGCAAATAAGCGTTGGCCTGATACTTGTTGAAATGACTCTCTAAAAGATATCATAGTCTTGCTTATGGTGAGTTTGCCTGTAATGCCCTAGAATGATGGCTTAGGTGTACTGGGTAGGTCACTATCCATCTAGGTACCTAACCACTCGGATTTGGTGATTTAACCGTTCGTCTGCCTATGATGTCAGCAGTTCAATCGACAAAAAGCAACGCTACTTTCTCTATTTCTTGACTAGTCCAAATCTGAAGATGCTCGCTTTTCTTTGTTCAGGGGCCTGTGCTTTTCAATTCACTTGGTTGCGATACCGCTTAGTCAACGGCATGTGGCTGAATATTTGACTGTGGCTGATCCACGTGATGTGGCACTGCAAGGCTCGAGCTTGAAGACTCCAAGGTGCCTGGCCCAATCGGGAGCTACCTAAGCTCCCCCAAGAAGGCAGCCTCAAGACTACGTACGTGCGGCCACAATAATCACTGCATCAACATCACGACTCTACCTCCAACTTCGCCGCGCCTGCACGACTACGATCGCGCATTGAATTCCACATCTACACGGTTCAGCATCTGTCGTAATAGATATAAATTGACGCAACGATGCCTACTACAACAGCAGAAACTCTCTCCCTCGTTACTCGAAACGTCACCGTTGCGCCCCTCGTCCTTCTCTCAGCCGTCGACCACTACAACCGAACTGTTTCTACCAAGACGAAGCGACGGGTAGTTGGTGTTCTTCTAGGACAAAATGATGGAAACGACGTGAGAGTGTCAAACAGTTTTGCTGGTGTGTTATCCTAGTATCATGGGACCGTAAATTGGGCGGCGCTTACAATTGTTACATAGTTCCCTTCGAGGAGGATGAGAAGGACCCTTCAGTATGGTTCCTTGACCACAACTACGTCGAGTCAATGAACGACATGTTCAAGAAAGTCAACGCCCGAGAGAAGCTCATAGGATGGTATCACACTGGCCCCAAGCTACGTGCATCCGATTTGGAAATCAATGAGCTCTTCAAGCGCTACACACCCAACCCTCTGCTCGTTATTGTCGATGTTCAGCCCAAGGAGTCGGGAGTTCCTACAGATGCTTACTTCGCCGTTGACGAGATCAAGGACGTATGTTGACAAAGCCTTGCTGATCTCTGATCACCAACCAGCTACTGACACTCACTAGGACGGCACAACCACTGCCCGAACATTTGTTCACACCCCTTCCGTTATCGAGGCCGAGGAAGCAGAGGAGATTGGTGTCGAGCACCTGCTAAGAGATATCCGCGACGTGGCCGCCGGCACATTGTCCACACGAGTCACAAACCAGCTTCAATCACTCCAGGGCTTGCACCTGCGCCTTCGAGATATTGGCACATACCTCCAGAAGGTTCTCGACAAGCAACTACCAGTCAACCACGCGATCCTCGGAAACTTGCAGGATGTCTTCAACCTGCTGCCTAATCTCTCGACACCCGAAGGAGATGGCAAGTCTGGCGGTGGCGAGTTGGCGTATGCGATGAGCGTCAAGACCAACGACCAGCTTATGGCTATTTACCTGAGCAGTCTGATCCGCGCCATCACAGCATTCCACGATCTGATTGAGAACAAGATCCAAAACAGACAACAGCAGGAGGAGAAGGAGGCTAAGAAGGAAGAGATCAATGGAAAGGATGAGAAGAAGGAGGGCGCCAATGGTTCAAGTGGTGACTCCAAGGAGGGCGCGGAAAAGGACAAGGAGAACAAGGAGACTAAGAAATAAGGAATAACAAAGACAAAAGACCTGGCAGATGAACTAGACTTGGACTGAGGCTCTTTGGCGTCTGGCGGAGGGGAACAATGGCAATATCCTGGCCAAAGGTCAAGGCAAAAGCGCCTTTGTACATTGATCATATCAAACTGGATTATTAGAGGACGGAGCGCGGATAATACGTACTGGACAGATACGTCTTGATAGACGGATCTTTCGGTACTGCTATGATGAACCATATTTACAAGCCGGCTACGATACCAGCCATTTCATCTTTTGATACAACCCGATCCTCAACATACATACCGAGCATTTCTGACCATTTATCCACAAGTAAGCATGCAAGGAGGTGTTTGCAACATGGAGGGGTATCTCCCCGTGAATCCAATCCCATGCCTCCAAAGGACCACTGCCCAGTTTCAGTTGGTAATTGCTGTACTTGGTTCGTTATTGAGACAGCATGAGCATGGGCTGGAAAAGCATCCAACGTAAAGCTCGGACATGTGCAATTCCACGCATCAAGATGCACAACGTAGCGCTTCGAGGATGAACCGAAGTCTCGCGTCCGGCGTGAAAGTGTTGTAGCGAGAGAGCGAACAAGGAACATGTCGTTCTTTATCTTATCTGATGAAATCCCATCTTGAAGCTCCTCGTTTCGCACTAGCCTGATAACGAGTCCCCGATCGAGAAGATCCAGCGCTGGGAGCAGAAGAGTTGGGAACAGCACATGGAGAGTTAACAGTAGAGGCCGTTGAGAGGGGAGAATGGCTTGTAAGGGTGATAATGTGGGCTGTTGAGCGGCCCGAAGTGGCTGCGCTGATGATATGTCTTCTGCGGTGGTTGATGGTGCGATATTGGAGATGGAACTTATGAGGGATGTAATCAACTGGCGATGGGAGGGGAGAGGCTCCATTGCCATGGAGTTGAGTGCTTTTGCATGGTTCGATGAATGATGTTGAGGGAAGGATTCTAGTCTCCACGTTGAGATGAATGGTGATATTTAATGACATCCAAAAGTGTCAACTCAAGAATACTTCGGTACACACCAAGTTCCAATAGAATCACCAGTTCAACGAACCATTTCATGACTTATATGACTTATATTGATTTTTTGATATTCTCACATCGGACGGATTTGCCCGTCTTTTGGTACCTAATAGCCTGCACCACTCTGGGTGTCCCTATCTATGATCTTCGCATATGATACACTAAACAATCGCTCAACCTCATGCTTCCACACTAACGAATTTCCTCTCTTAGATCAAAAGAGCATAAGCTTAAACCCACTCCTTGGGGTCCCTGAGGACGTCAACCAGGCGCTGCTCCCTGCTCTTAGGCTCGGGCTCATGCATGTACTTCCAGCCAGCCGTCAACGGTAAGCTCATAAGGATACTCTCGACCCTTGATCCAGGGGTGTTCAGACCAAATGCTGTACCCCGGTCGTGCACCAAGTTGAACTCGACATACTTGCCACGGCGCAGCTGCTGCCAATCCTTCTCTGCCTCAGTGTAGGGCATGTCCTTTCGCTTCTCGATGATGGGAATGTAGGAGGGCAGGAAGGCCTTGAGGCAGTCCTGGACGAACGAAAAGGTGTTCTCGCGATCGCGCTCGGTCTCATCAAGGTCGTCGAAGAAGATACCACCAATGCCACGGGCCTCGCCTCGATGCTTGTTGTAGAAATACTCATCGCACCACTTCTTGAATCGTGGGTAGTAGTCCTTGTCGTGAGCGTCGCAAGCTGCCTTGATCGTCTTGTGGAAGTGAATGGCATCCTCATCGAAGAGGTAAGAGGGTGTCAAATCACAACCACCACCGAACCACCAAGCCTGAGATGTACCGTCGGGGTTGGCTGTCTCAAAGTATCGGTAGTTCAGGTGCACCGTCGGGGCCATAGGGTTGTAAGGATGCAGAACCATGCTGAGGCCCGCAGCGAAGAAGTCGATCGACTCCATGTTGGGGTCCATGGTTTTGTGGTTTGCGCGCATCTTCTCAATGGCAGGCTTGGGGAGCGAGCCGTAGACGACACTCACACCAAGACCAGCCTTCTCGAAGACGTTGCCTTCTTGAAGGACGCAGGTTGTGCCACCGCCGCCATTGGGGCGCTCCCACTCATCCTTGCGAAACTTTTTGCCATCAACTCTCTCGAGCTCGGCGACAATCAGAGCCTGCTGCTCCCGAATAAACTTTTCCATACGCAGGCGCATAGGCGAGTCCTCGTTGACGCCAGACTCTCGCTTCTTCTGGGCATCGCGATCGGCGAGAGTGGAAGGGTCGGCGTTAATAGGTTCCATTTCGGCCTGAGAGCAATAGAGTTAGCAATTGAGCCTTTGTTTTCCGAGGAAGTTCCTGTACCATCTTGTAAGCTAACGGGGCCACTGCACCGAGGGCAACAGTAGCGAGCCACAGAGGAGAGTAGTTGAAGTGAGAGGATCGTGAAGCTTTAGGACTGGCAGAACTAGACAGCCAGCGTCTCGTAGAAGCGAATTGTGTTCTTGGGGAGCGTGTAGAAGGAGATGCAAGGTACGCAGCAAGGCGCTGGGAAGGCCGCCTGGCAGCCATGATATTATATATTTGGACAATGCAACGCGAGGAGCCGGGAAATAGTAGCGGCAAAACAAGGCCGAAGGCCGAGAACGAATACAGAAAGCAAGACAGGCCTTAAGGATACGACGATCAGGCGTTTCGGATGAGGCCACTTGCGAGTGCCAGGATGCGACAATAGGCCACAGGTACCTCTTGTTAGGTTCAAAGTCTGTATGAGAACGACTGGGAACTCGGGTGATAGTCAGAATCGAATGTTCGGCAATTGGCTAACAGAGTCTAAGGGACTTGGGAGTGTGGAGCGGGACCCGACAATGTCTGCTCCGGTGGCCGGCCGGTGCCGAGGGCGGTCAAAATCAACGCACCACTCGGGGGTACCAGACCACTGTAGCTCCGTTTGCACCTATAATTTGTGTAGAGCTTCTCCGGGCGATGAAATCAGTTTGGGGGGGAATCGAGAAAATCTGTAGAACAAGCATGGTTTCTCTCGTGATGTGGATGTTGCAGTGTGGCTGACAGGGAAGGCCTCAGTTGTCAAACTTTCAATTTGGTGCATCGACAATTCAAGGTAAGAAAACTGAGGATGGCAAGTGCTGAGGCAGATTGACTCTACTTTGGTGAATCCTTAGACCAGTTGATTCTGGCACCCTAATACAAATTTGGAGGTTTTATCACCCCCGAGGATTGGTAACTGGTGTCCATGTGAAGTGGCGTGGCGTTGATAACTAATACTCCATGTAAGCTGTCACTGAGGAACATAGAACGTCTATTGTTCCTGACTAACGTTAGACTCTTTGATACACAAGCTGAATCACGGCTAAAGAGCTATAACTTTGCAGACATACACTAACTCAGTGACATGCAACCAAGATGATGCCTCACCATTTGGTTGTCCAGTGTAAGATCGTCTCAGTTTCATTAAAAGTCCAACGATTTGTCAAAATGAGTGGTGAGTAGAAACTTTGCTTCACCAATGCTACCATTGGGGAACTGCCCTGTTTATTTGCCATGCAAACTTTTTAGAAGATGGTGCAGTTCGCAGGAAACTTCGAGGTGAACACTGCTCAGGATGTATATAGTAGCTTTGAGTTTCTCTTGACTCTCCCTTAGTGAGATAATCAAGGCGGCCAAGTCATGATTCATTCGTAAGCATACTTTGGCCAACACCCAATTGTAATTCACGACATCAAGAACCCTGAAGGAACTGATGGACATGGGCACGTTTGCAGCTCAAGCTGCTTAGTACGCATCAGCTAGACTAACCCTCTCCCGGATCGTGAATCGTTGTACCCTTAAAACCATTCTAACGACGTTGCCCGTAACGTAACTCGGATCCCGGTGATATATCCTCGACATCTTTGCCATGAATTAAATAATGACCCAGAATGAAAGGGGATTTCATTCCAAGTGATTGATTGTTTGCTAAGGTTCCCTCACAAACTCGACCCTGTGACGAGACAGTGCGACGTGACTTGTTGCTTCCCCGCCATTGTCGCCTCGCGGGGCCTCTTGTGATTCACCGAGCATCACTGGTCTAGACCATTTATGGCTTAGCTCAATAGCCCCGCGACTGTCTCTCACCCATCACTGCTTGTCATTCTGCCACTTGATGCCCACCTGCCCACCTGGCCCCCTTCTCAGTGAGCGTGCCGCCTGCCCTGTGCCTGTGTCCTCCCTGCAGCTTTGAACCTGTCTGCGCCTAGGTAAGGTACCTAGCTGGTAAGGTTGCTTGCTGCCTTCCGCCTCGACCGCTCATCTGTGTCCCAGTGTCTTGAGGTGTGTTAGTGCCACTGCCACCTTCTTCTGCCTGTGACTGTGACTCTCTGCCCTTCCTCATTCTTCTTCTGCCTGACGCAAGCAAATCGTAACCTAAACCTTCTTCTCATTTTACCTTATCTATCGCCAACTCCATTCTCTTTTTTCACTTTTCATACTTTCCCGAATTTTCCGCTGCCACAAGTCAACCATCTCTACTGCTTGCTTCCACCATCGATACCACTCTTACCGCCTCTACAACTTACGAACCACCACCGTCAATATGCGCAGCAAGTTCAAGGACGAGCATCCCTTCGAGAAGCGCAAGGCTGAGGCCGAGCGCATTCGACAGAAGTACTCTGACCGCATTCCCGTACGTGATTTGCCCTTTGCTTTGATTTGGATTCAAGTTGGGGCTCCAACTCGGCAATGAGAGAACGGCGGGCGCGCGCAATCGTGCAGTGACCGCTTATTCCCTCTGCCTTTTTTACGACGATAGAAACTAACAGGTTACAAATAGGTTATTTGCGAAAAGGTCGAGAAGAGTGACATCGCGACCATCGACAAGAAGAAGTACCTTGTCCCTGCCGATTTGACCGTTGGTCAGTTCGTCTACGTCATCCGCAAGCGAATCAAGCTCTCCCCCGAGAAGGCCATCTTCATCTTCGTCGACGAAGTGCTTCCCCCAACGGCTGCCCTCATGAGCAGCATCTACGAGGAACACAAGGATGAGGACGGGTACGTTCTCACACAACTGTTGGAGTGGGCAACTTGCTGACATGACCTTAGTTTCCTATACATTACCTACTCAGGCGAGAACACCTTCGGTGATGCTTGGGAGTAAGCTGCGTGGAATCGGTTCTATATCCCACCTCGAGAATGATGAAGGCGTTACGGTCGTTTTTGGGTGAATATTCGTTGGTCACTGGTTATGTTGACGTTATCTTTTGAGTCCGTACTTCAGATCTCGATAGAGAGTCTGCTACCCTTTCTGGCAACACGTCTGTATACTCGCTAGATCCGGCAATGCAGCTACGGTCCGAAGTGCTTTTTTCTGCCTCTTCTGGATTATCAGGTTTATTTTGATTAGTGACACAATTTTCAGAGTCTTTGAATAGGGTATCAGAAACAACGTATAAGCAGCTCATGGTACAGTCACGCCGAGCGAAACTCCCACGAGAACCAAGATTAGGCAGCTGCAGCTATCACCTGATTACCCCAACTTGGAACCGTGAGCGCTAGCACGCCATGTGCCTGAGTGGCTTGTCAGAGCCGTGATCGGCATTCATTTATACAAAAACTGAACTTGCCACTGATAAGATAACTTGCCATGAGGGCTGTCTGTCTAGAGCTTCAAAATCTCTGGATAATTTAATCATGTATCGAGGATAAGATGCCAGGCAACGTTGCGCTGATTCTCACGACCCATGCCTTCATGCCATTTCCTTATAAAATGCCATGACAGCGTAGCGAAAGGAGCCATTGGCATAACCTCGTCTCATTGCGCGAAATGACTGCAAGAAAGCAATACCGTCCCGGTTTTGAGTAAACGCAAATGCCCAAAGGGATGGGTTCTGCACAAGTGACCAAGTAATGTCCCTAAATATACGAGTGTAAGCATATGATCAACAGTCACATACATGATATTCGCACCATGTTTTTCGGACTTGTTGACTGATGTCCTTTGGCTCAGACAAGACTGTAAGTCCGGCGTTCTTCGCGAGATCGACGTACCCTTGCTGGGTACAGAGGGGTGGGAGTAGCATGCCATCTGCGCTCAATTTAAGTTCATAAACACATGAATACGAATATCTCGCATGCAACCTTACCTTCGATAGGCTTGATATCATTGATGAAAGTTGTTTCGTCAATGTCTTCATCCCTGAACCAATCTGCTAACACCAACTTGCCCCCAGGCTTGAGTACTTTCATCACATTCTCAAAGAACAATGCCTTGTTTGGAAAATGGCTAAGAGCTTCACTTATCCATACTGCATCGAAGTTGCCCTGCTGGTCGCTGAAGAAGTCGCCCATCTTCTCGGCGTCAAGCTCGAGGAATTTGACTTTTCCCTCGCCGAGTTTGGCGAAGCCATTGTCATCTGACACATCAGACGAAGAGGTGTCTTCGAGAGCAGCTTTGGTTAGGCGATTTGCGATCTCGACCTGTTTGCTTGAGATGGTGATGCCCGTCACAGAGCTACCATGTTTGGAAGCGAGATACCGCGATGTTCCGCCGATACCACAGCCAACATCAAGAACCGAGCTGTTGGATGGAATCTTTGAAATGTCGAGAAGGAGCTGGATGAGATTGGCCTGTGCTTCCTCCTTTGTCTGCGTGGCTTCAGACTCTGGTGTTGGCCAGTACCCGTGATGGATATGTTCGCCCCTAGTAAGCCAGCCAGTGGATCAGCAATCGCTAAGCTTTCTGGGAGATAGAATGTTTTCACTTACCACAAACTCAAATAGTAGTCACTTGCAAGATCGTAATGGAGCTTGATTCTGTCCTTGAGGACTTGCATAGTTGAGTGAGCGAGGCCGAGAGGAGTGTCATATTGCTTGCTCAGGTCGGTAGTTTGGTCAGACACTGCTGTGGCAGCCATGATTTCTGATGCTCGAGGTCGTGCGGTAGTAAGATATTGAGGTAATTACTCAAGTTTTGTTTGCAAATCGTGTATCAGAATCACACAGCAACGTTTATAACAAGCTGTTGTCAGAGAGTGCGTATGTACCCCGCGTTAGATATGCGTATCAGTGACTGCAGGGTGACACAATCGTTACCTCTCTGTCTCTAAAGATCTCACCGGGGAAGGGGCTAGTTTACGAGGACAGAAAGAGGCTAGAGAGGCTTGACGAGAGGCACCAAAACACATCTCGAAATGACTGCCAGAGGATTCTCTGAGACCATAATTATGTAGTCCGATGGAGTTGGACAGGCTGAGCTGTTAAATGCGTCAAATGAAGCAGCATGGCACAAAATGCCTGGTCTTAAATTGGAACCCGGGTCTTGCTGAACCCTTGAAGATAGAGGAGAACCGTGACAATTTAAGCCAATCTACTAGGATAGATTTGAGAATCTTTTACGCATATGGTTTTCTGTCATTAAGTAGTAAAGCATACATGCTCGCTTGATAGAACTTCCTAGCGACACACAGGTTTTATCTGGGCACATCGAGTTTGGGTGCGAGGCTTTGACTGAGTCATCTGCTGCACTGAAGCACACCAAGAAGGCCTTCTTCTCTTGAAAGAATTGGATGCTGGTGAACTTCAAAGACAACACATTGAAGTTGTTTCTCGCTGTTGATTGCAATGGATAAAAAGCAAACTGACTTGGATGATGTAATGGAGGTCGATATGTTCAACTTACTCGCTGCCACAGGCAACAGACACTTTTTACTGACTGACAACTGTTTTTGATAACCAATTTCAGAGCCCTCGACAATAACAAGCATCCATTGGGGCCTTTAACAAAGGAACCTCGTTATTTTAAGCTCTTCTGCAAGTGGATGCTCAACTTGTTAGACGTTCTGCCTTCAGTGGGCTCCGTTTCACTACGCGCCCAAAGAGTAGGGCTACAGGGCTACCAGCGGCTGTAACCGCAACCAATTGTTCAGGTTTACACTGGAGCGACCAAGAGGCGACCACTTTCCGATGGCTCGATACACAAAGCGCTTCGCAAGATTAAAAACTCGATCTCCATTTTTGAGTACTCACAGAAATGAGGAACTATTTGCTTGTCGCTCAGCATCTTCCATCAGGTCACCAACAAATAACACAACTTCTTGCTAGCTAAAACTTGAGAAAACAAGACGAATGAACCCCCCCGCCATATGACATCATACTCTTCAGCCCAACTTGACTACGGCTAAAGAGCTTTGACTACGGATACAAACTCTATCTATCTTTAAACACCTCACTCACCTGTCTAGCCTGTTCACCTGGCCCTGGAAGGCCGTATTTCACTGCTGGCCAAGTTTCAGAATATGCAAGACGATGATCAGAAACAAATCCAGCCAACCCGTGACTCTTTCCAGAAAATCCTGTTTCAACTACAACTCATCAAGTGGCGATTTCTTTGGACGAGATCGGCGGTTACCGACCACGTGAGCCCCTGTCGACGAGGGGCCCTGCTAGCCCTGAAGAGAGAGACCCTTAGGCCTATTTGGGGAAGCTCTTCACCGGGATCCAGGGGCTTCAACGGTGAAGAGGCCCCTGTTTGGAAGCTTGATTGGCTGTCAGCCCTGGCAACTCTAACAACATCCTGGTGCGCCACCTCGAAAACATTCACCACCAAGAAATGTTCTGGTGATGATCATAGCCTCTTGAAATCGTTTCTCGGAGGACCCTGCTTTTTCTAGTGACCTACACGATGGCATTTACGGCGCAGTTACATTAGCCAAATGGTTAGCCAGCATATCGGAATCAGTCGGCAGCACCGCCACTGCGCTCATGGCTTCAGGCTAGGGTTTCATGGGAAACAGCTTGCAATGGCGTCACCCGCTTGGACTACCAAGATGTGCCGCCTTCCTATCAGTTATATGCCCATGCTCTTCGCCCGCCAACTGATGGTGAGCTTTGGAATGCTGGGCACCTCTCACCTTATCGCTCCACGGTGTTCCCCTTGCACTCTGCGTGAGTCACTATATATCTATACTTCAACTCGCACCCCATTCACTTGGAGGCTGCTGCAGTTGATGCTGTGATATTGCGAGTACAGTTCCACCTGAAGTACCTTGTTCATTGTGCAAGTCCTCTACGGAGCGGCCATATAACATTCAACCCATGCTTGAGGCGGCTGGGCCACTCAAAGCGACAAGTCAAACAAGCCAAACAACCTCGCACCTATAGCCAGCCCAACCGTACCCTCAACCCAACTCAAGCTCAGCCTCAGCTGTTAATCTACTACAAACGCTACCTACCTCACTATACTTGCGGTCCGTTTGCTCTTGGCTCGGTTTCGGAACCGTTTGTGTTCAGGCCTTTGCCAGCATCGTGACTGGTCACCGGTATAGGCGGGCGCTTAGCTCACTCAACTCAACCTCAGTCTCGTACCCTAAGCGCTGCCGCCGGAATCGTCAAGGGCGTTTCTGTTACAGCTGATTTCTATTGGAATTTGTTATCCATTGGATACTTGATTTGTGGAGTGAGCCAGGTATGTTTTGCGTCAAAGCTTTCTCAATCACCCTCTCTTATTGTTGCTATTCCCCTTCCTATTGTTCTATTGTTCGGCCTTTTCTTTCACTTATACACAATTGCACTTCAACCTTGAACAATCAACATGGAATCATAGACGATAGACTGGAACTATTTTTTTTGCTCACGGCCGTCATTTCCTTTGTCCCATTTCTTTCATCTTTCGACCTTGGGCTCTTTATCTAATTAATCTTTGTCCCTACATCGTGTAAATCATCATCACATCTCACTCGATCTGAGCCCTCGTCTTCCTTCGGTCTTCGCATTTTTCTACTTTTACAATCTCATACTCATACAAACTTAATCGTTTGAATTTACCAACAAACATAGATTCAAAGATGTTCTCCTCACGGAAAGAAAACGACGACCCGCCGGTCTACCCGGCCGTACCCAACTCCCTGCGGTCAGAATCATTCGAAATGGCCGAGATGCGAAAAGTTCAAGAAGCTAGAGCCGATACTGCTCCAAATGTTACTCCCTACCTCAGCCTCAGAGCAAGGCTCTCTCAAATATGGATGAATCGCTGGACAATCCTCCTCATCCTGGTCCTGGTCCGAGTCATGATTCTCATCGTTGACCTCAAAGAAAACGTCGGAGATGCCAAAGTCAAAGCCCTCTCCGCCTGTACCAAAGTCGAAGATGTTGGCAGCGCCATGGCCTCCATGCCTCATTACCTCTCTAGGGGTGTGAACGAACTTGCAGCCTCTGGAATCGAGAAGTCAGTTGATGCCATGGTGTACTTGCTCGACCTGGTCCTTGTCGGCGTCAAGAACATGATCGTGTTCTACATCAACTTTCTGACTGCCACTTACGTGTGCCTGATTACCGCCATGGTCCACGGAAGTCTGGATGTCGTTGCCGATGTCACTGAAGGGGCAACCGAAAAGTTCAACGGCGTGATTGACAAGGCTGTGGACAAAATAGAAAGTCTCTCCAAGGAACTTGAAGATGGCATTAACAAGGTCACCAAGGGAATTGAAGACTCTGTCTTTGGAGACCTTGTTCCCGATATCCCCAAGGTTGACTTCTCCAGCCCCGTCAAGGAACTCAAGGACTTTGACATCAAGTCCGAAGATTTCGCCAAGGATGTACGCAAATTGGAAGACGATCTCCCTGACTTCCGAGAAGTCCAGAACTTGACAGAGCAAGCCATCTCGATCCCGTTCGACTTCGTCCGCAAAGCCCTCAACGAGACCTACGGCAATTACAAATTCGATCGAGATGTCTTCCCTCTCGCCCAGAAGAAGAAGCTGACCTTTTGTTCTGAGAATACTGCTCTCAACGACTTCTTCAACAACCTGTTCGAACTTATTCACAAAGCTCGAACCATCTTCATCGCTGTCTTGATTATTCTCGCTCTGGCCGCCATTGTTCCCATGGCCTGGCTTGAGATCAGACGCTGGCGGCGACAACAGCAGCATGCTCGTCTTATTGCTCAAAACTCGTATGACCCTATGGACATTGTCTACATTGCGTCTCGACCCATGACGGCTACTGCGGGCATCAAGATCGCATCGCACTTCAAGGGCAAGCGACAGATTCTTGTACGATGGCTGATCGCTTATGCTACGTCAGTCCCAGCCCTCTTCATCCTGTCTCTTGCCATCGCTGGCTTCTTCTCTTGCTTTTGCCAGTGGCTTCTTCTCAAGGCGATCAGAGACCAAGTGCCTGCCCTCGCAGGTCAAGTTGGCGCATTTGCTGACGATGTTGTTGAGAACCTCGAAAGCGTTTCGGCTGAATGGGCCCATGACGCCAACGGCGTGATCACGAATTTCAACAGTGAAATTAACAACGACGTCCTCGGTTATGTTACAAACGCCACGGATGCTGTGAATGACACTCTCAACACATTTATTGATACCATGAATGATGGGCTTGACACTGTCTTCAAGGGAACCATCCTTCTTGACCCTATCAAGACAGTCCTTCACTGTGTTATCGGCATCAAGATCGAGAGCGTGCAAAAGGGACTCACCTGGGTTCATGACCACGCCCAAGTCAACTTCCCACTCTTCGAAAACAATACCTTCAGCGAGGGTGCGAAGGACTCGGTTGAAGGTGACTCGGAGCTTAACACGTTCCTGGCATCCCCGTCGTCCGCCACTACTGATGAGGTCACGGGGGCTGTCAAGGCAGTTACAGATTGGCTTCACGGGAAGCTGATCCAAGATGCTCTTATCTCTACCGGTATCCTTCTAGTGTATGTCCTTGTTGTCCTTATTGGCACAGTCTGGACACTTGTCGGCATGGTCTCACCGGACAAGGGCCGCGCCGAAGGTGGTATGCGCTATACTGGAGACAACAGACCGGGCTTGAGTCCTCGTGTCGGACACCACGATCCCGCCAATCCCGATGGCGCAACACACTTCCCTCGTTTTGGGTCCTCCTCTGGCGAGATAGATCATTACAGAGAAGATGCTCCCAGGCATGACGAGAAGTTCATGTCCGGTGCGACAGGGGCCCGTGCTACACAGGTGGACGGCCACCAAAGAAGCAGCTCCTACGGCTACCTAGACACGGCAAGCGGCAAATACTAGGAGTGTTGGAGCCCGATAGCCAGTTGAAGGATGATTTTCCTTGCAGTTTCTTTTTTATTACTCTGGCCCTGGCTGGACCCGCGCCGAGAGAGACGATCCTTTTTAACTGCATGAAGCGATGACTACACGGAAGGCGTTGATATAACGTATCTTGGACATGGAGGCAACTCAAATTTATTTCATATGTTTCTCAATTGATATCCAGAAGGGAAAAAAGGTATTGGCCGTTGGATACTTAGTTCATGTTTCGTGTCCAAGGAATAGTCTTGAGTCTGGTTCGTGTTCTACATTGTTTGTGGTCATGATTTCAATCAGATTGTTTCTAGCCTTAGACTGACACATAGTAACAACAAATTGAAGACTACAATTGCAAATCTTATGGCTTAGTGATGGTGATGTAACGTGTGCCTGTGAGTGCATGGTTATTGTGACTGTATAACGATGTATAGACTTCCTCTGATGGGGGAAAGCTTGTTCTGTTTCTGGTCGAAAGAGGTTATTCCTGATACTAGTTCAGCCCTACATGTGGTTCTTTGTTACAAGCTGCTTGGCGTCGGAGTTGCTCGACAAAGAGACTCCCTCGTATGTGCCTTTGTGTTGGTAGCTATGCATGCATGAGAACTGCAGCAGAGTGAATGCTAACTTGGAGAATACCCAATGGTAATGTCCGTAATTGCTTACATAGAGCGGAGTACGAGATATGTCACACGATTCAGATGCCATGATGCAGGACCCTGAAAATTGCAACCAAAGCTCCATCCAATGTCATCTTGATTGATTACCCAATTAGGGAATTCCGGAGCCGAAGTGGGTGCTATGATGCTTGATGCAGGGCGGAGTGTGGGCGGAATATGCACCTGCGGGCGACTTGCATGAGCGGGATGGAGCTAACGAGCCCAGAGGCACAATTGCAGGTGGCGGAACTCGTTCTTCCGGAATCGGTGGCGGAGAATGAGAATACAGTGCAGTCACCACCAACAAACACCCCTCGCCTTAACTTTCTTTCTCTTTTCTTTAAAGATCCCCACGTCCTCCCTAGGAATATCCTCTCTTCAATCTATATCATTTCTAGGACCAGAGTCGATAAGCAATTCGCTATGGACGCTATCAAAGAGACCTTCAGGCGCTGCAAGGAGCAGAACAGAGTCAGTACACCAAATTCTCGTCATGACTGCCCCTCCGCGGGGTAAAACGGCGAGAATACCAACTTTTGCTGCAAGAACAAAGAAACTGACAATGACTCTTCTCTCTCAAACAGTCTGCGCTGGTAACATATGTCACTGCTGGTTACCCCAAGCCCGAGGACACACCCAACATCCTCCTGGCTCTCGAGAAGGGTGGCGCCGGTAAGTCTTCCTCGGCTCAATGACGCCTGTGAACTGTACTAACCGAGTCGCAACTCTAGACGTTATCGAAGTCGGCGCGCCGTTCACCGACCCAATTGCCGATGGCCCTACTATCCAGACTGCCAACACGGTTCGTACAGTACCAATCGCTTTGATTAGACAGGAATTGACGGGTTTAGATCGCCCTCGAGAATGGCGTCACAATCGAGTCCACATTGGCGATGGTGAAGGAGGCCCGGTCTCGCGGGCTCAAGGCCCCCGTCATGCTTATGGGCTACTACAACCCTCTCCTAAGCTACGGCGAGGAGAGACTGCTCCAGGACTGCCACTCCTCCGGTATCAATGGCTTCATCGTCGTCGACTTGCCTCCCGAGGAGGCTATTTCTTTCCGAAAGCTCTGCAACAAGGGCCGGTGAGTCAAAACACCCAAATCGACCAGAGTACAATACTGATTACATACATAGTCTCTCATATGTTCCTCTTATCGCTCCTGCTACATCAGATACCCGAATGAAGATTCTCTGCCAGCTCGCCGATTCATTCATCTACGTCGTCTCCCGCATGGGCGTCACCGGCGCTACCGGCACTCTTAACGCGAACCTTCCCGACCTTCTGGATCGAGTGAAGAAGTACAGCGGCAACAAGCCCGCTGCTGTAGGTTTCGGTGTCAGCACTCGAGAGCATTTCCTAAGTGTCGCTACTTTGTCAGACGGTGTTGTCGTCGGCAGTCAGATCATCACCACCATTAAGAACGCCGCTCCTGGCCAGGCTCTTGCCGATGTCGAGAAGTACTGTGCCTACCTATCAGGCCGCGATTCCGATGAGAACACAAGAGAGGTCGGTCTTGTTGAGGCTGTTGCTGGGGCTAAGGAACCCAGCGGCGAGAATGTTACCGTCAGTGGTACTGTCACAGATGCCGATATCACTGCTGAGGAGGACAGTGCCCTGGTTGCTCAGCTCGCTGCGCTTCACGGCAAGATCCCCGAGCGATTTGGCGAGTTCGGTGGTCAGTACGTTCCCGAGAGTCTGATGGACTGCCTGTCACAACTGGAGGATGGATTCAATGCGATTAAGGACGACCCTTCTTTCTGGGAGGAATACCGATCCTACTACGAGTACATGGGGCGACCCGGCCACTTGCACTTGGCTGAGCGACTCACTGAGCACGCTGGTGGTGCCAACATCTGGCTCAAGCGCGAGGATCTGAACCACACTGGTAGTCACAAGATCAACAACGCCCTGGGACAGCTTCTCCTTGCTCGGAGACTCGGAAAGAAGCGTATTATCGCTGAGACTGGTGCTGGTCAGCACGGTGTTGCTACTGCTACCGTTTGTGCCAAGTTCGGCATGGAGTGCACAGTTTACATGGGAGCTGTAAGTCGAAGCCTATCCGCTGATCTAGATATCACCACTAATGCATTGAATAGGAGGACGTCCGACGACAGGCCCTCAACGTTTTCCGTATGCGACTTCTCGGCGCCAAGGTTGTTGCTGTCGAGGCTGGGAGCAAAACTCTTCGAGACGCTGTCAACGAGGCCCTCCGCGCTTGGGTCGTTGACTTGGACACCACCCATTACATCATCGGTTCTGCGATCGGACCTCATCCCTTCCCTACCATTGTCCGAACCTTCCAGTCAGTGATCGGTAACGAGACCAAGCAACAAATGCTCGAGAAGCGAGGCAAGCTTCCCGATGCTGTTGTGGCCTGTGTTGGCGGTGGCAGCAACGCTGTAGGCATGTTCTACCCCTTCGAGAACGAGCCTACTGTCAAGCTTCTGGGTGTTGAAGCAGGTGGTGATGGTGTTGACACCGCCAGACATAGTGCCACTCTCACTGGTGGCTCCAAGGGTGTCTTGCATGGTGTGAGGACATATGTTCTCCAGGACAAGCACGGTCAAATCACGGAGACACATTCCGTTTCCGCTGGTCTCGATTACCCCGGTGTCGGCCCTGAGCTGAGCTCTTGGAAGGACAACGAGCGAGCCAAGTTCGTTGCTGCCACTGATGCTGAGGCATTCCTTGGTTTCAAGCTCATGAGTCAGCTCGAGGGTATCATTCCTGCTCTCGAGACTGCTCACGGTATCTTTGGTGCCATTGAGCTTGCCAAGACAATGAAGAAGGGCGAGGATCTTGTCATCTGCCTGAGCGGCCGTGGTGACAAGGACGTGCAGAGTGTCGCTGAGGAGCTGCCCAAGTTGGGCCCTAAGATTGGCTGGGATCTTCGTTTCTAAATCAAAAGTGATACCATGTTTGGATTATGTAGCAACCATTGAAATGATAGCATGAACAAAAAAGTCTTTTTCTTTTCTCTATCGTGGCTCTGGCGGGTTGGTGATACAAAGGTTGGAAGGCGTTGAAAATGGAGGGTTTTGGTACATATTATACATAAGACATTTTATACCGTAATCTTTTGCTGGCCTTGTGTCTTTCTGGCTTCCATCTCTGCATCGAGCTCCTTGAATAACAGGGCCTCTTCCTCGTCTGACAGCTCTTGAATGCCCTCCAAATCAGCCAGATCCTCGTCACCCAAAACAAACTCCTGCGCTACAAGTTCGCCCAGCGTCGCTTGACTACGCTTGCTTAGGGGCCCCGGAGTAGCGAAATCGAGCGCATACTGGATAATATCATCCCGGTCCTCAATCTCCTTGGGCGGCATGCCCAAAGCAATACGCTCCTCATTGAACCGCTTCTGAATATCCTTGGACTGCATGAGCAGCCACCTCAAGTTCCAGCCGCCGGGGCCAAGCTCCTTTATCCTGGCGGGCTTGCTCTTGAGAAGATATTCCTGGAGACCACCCTCTCGGCGAATGGTCTTGAGAACTCGGAGTGTGAGGCGGGTCTTGACGTTGGCTTGTATGGCGGGTAGCCTGAAGACCTTGACGTGGACGTTTGGACGCCAAAACCGACGGGCCTTGTTGTTGTACTTTTCCGCAACAGTGTTACCGAAACGAATCCTCGCTGAGCCGTATAGACCCTTGTTGGACTGCTTGTAGACTCTTCGCTCGCCATAGGGGTATGGGGGGATCAGACGGTTGGGTAGAAGATGCGACTTGATCGTCTTGGTCTGCTGAGGCAGAGTAGTGCTGAATAGCCGAGCGGGAGTCGCTGTCGATGATGAGGCCAGGGCCCTCAGAGCCGGCCGAGCGGGGGCCCAGGACGCCATGATGTTCGTTATCGAGTCTCGCAGTGTGATTTCCCGGTCAGATACGAGACATTGGTCTTCAATTGACGTCGAGGCGGGGTGGAGATTTTCGAGCGCGGAGTGCCCCCTTCGAGATGCGCTGATCGTCGACAATGTCGATGACCTTTTGGAGTTGAGATTTTTGGGCTGTCGTTGTTCGGAGGGGCGTGATGTTCCGGCGCCGGAGGCATGGGCTGTTTAAGCTTGAAGGAATTGCCCAATCAGGTGATTTCGTGGTGTCTTCGCGATGGGATCCACTACAGCTTCACTATCAACAAAGCAAACAATGAGTATTCGTCGACAGCGGGATCTGATCTGATCTGATCTGATCTGATATACGATGGCCATGTTTCCTCCTGTGGAAGACTCTGTTCTTCAAAATAATCCTGATTTCGCGAATCTCTATAATAAACTCACAAATCTTGTACTTAATCCTGATGGATCGACTAAGCAGGACCCCAGAGCTAAAGAGC